CTGATTCGGGGGATGAGAACCCCAGATTTGGGGGTGGAAACCTTGAATTTGGGGGTGAAGAACCCAAGTTTGGGGTGGGGACCCTTCCTTTCCATGGGGCTGGGGCTGCCCTCCTTCAAACTGGGGGTACGGTGCCAGGGACCCCAAATTTGGGGGTGGAGGACCCAAATTTGAGGGGTGGGGGACCCAAATCTGGGGATGGGAACACTGAATTTGGGGGTGAAGGACCTGAGTTTGGGGTGGGGACCCTCCCTTTCCATGGGGCTGGGGCTGCCCTCCTTCAAACTGGGGTATGGCGCCGGGGACCCCAAATTTGGGGTGGGAGACCCGATTCGGGGAGTGAGAACCCTAAATTTTGGGTGGGAACACTGAATTTGGGGGTGGGAACACTGAATTTGGGGGTGAAGGACCCGAGTTTGGGGTGGGGACCCTCCGTTTCCATGGGGCTGGGGCTGCCCTCCTTCAAACCGGGGGTACAGCGCCAGGGACCCCAAATTTGGGGTTGGGGACCCAAATTTGAGGGGTGGGGGACCTGAGTTTTGGGGTGGGGGACCCAAATCTGGGGGTAGAACCCCCAAATTTGGGGGTGAAGGACCCGAGTTTGACGTAGGGACCCCCCATTTCTGTGGGGCTGGGGCTGCCCTCCTTCAAACCGGGGGTACGGTGCCGGGCACCCCAAATTTGGGGTTGGGGGACCCGATTCGGGGGATGAGAACCCCAAATTTGGGGTGGAAATGCTGAATTTGGGGGTGGGAATCCCAACTTTGGGGCCGGGGATCCCAATTTGGGGGTGAGGGAACCGAGTTTGGGATTTGGGGACCTGAATTTTGGGGTGCTGCTTTCCCACATGGGTGTGTCCTGGGGGGGGAAATCATTTGTGGGCGTGCCCTTTAATGGGCGTGTCATTTATAGGCGTGGTCTTTTATGGGTGTGGTCTTCGTGGGCGTGTCCTTTTATGGGTGTGTTTTTGTGGGTGTGTCCTTTTATGGGCGTGTCCTTTAATGGGTGTGATTTTTTTGTGGGTGTGTCCCTTTTATGGATGTGACTTTTGTGGGTGTGACCTTTTGTGGGCGTGGCCTTTTGTGGGCGTGGCCTTTTGTTGGTGTGTCCTTTTATGGGTGTGTCCTTTGTGGGTGTGGCATTTTATGGGTGTGGCCTTTGTGGGATTGTCCCTTGTGGGCGTGTCCCAGCTGGGTGTGTCCTTTGTGGGCGTGTCCTGGGTGGCCATGTCCCCCCCGGCCATGTCCCATGGTGTCCCCTGGCCCTGTCCTGGGTGGCCGTGTCCCTCCCGGCCATGTCCCCCAGTGTCCCCAGGTATCCCTGTCCCTCCCAGCCGTGTCCCATGGTGTCCCCTGGCCGTGTCCATCCTGGCTGTGTCCCTCCCATCCATGTCCCCAGTGTCCCTGGATATTCCTGTCCCTCCTTGCCGTGTCCCATGGTGTCCCCCAGTGTCCCCAGGTGTCCCTGTCCCTCCCAGCCATGTCCCATGGTGTCCCCCGGCTGTGTCCATCCTGGCTGTGTCCCTCCCATCCATGTCCCCAGTGTCCCCGGATATTCCTGTCCCTCCTGGCCGTGTCCCCGGGTGTCTCTGTCCCTGTGGGCTGTGTCCCTGACAGTGTCCTGGGTGGCCATGTACCTCCTGGCCATGTCCCACAGTGTCCCCAGGTGTCCCTGTCCCTCCCAGCCGTGTTCCATGGTGTCCCACAGTGTCCCCGGGTATCCCTGTCCTCCTGGCCGTGTCGCACAATGTCCCCGGGTATCCCTGTCCCTCCTGGGCATGTCCCCGGGTGTCCCCGGGTGTCCCTGTCCCTCCCAGCCATGTCCCACAGTGTCCCCAGGTGTCCCTGGGTATCCCTATCCCTCCTGGCCATGTCCCACAGTGTCCCCAGGTGTCCCTGTCCCTCCCAGCCGTGTTCCACGGTGTCCCACAGTGTCCCCGGGTGTCCCTGTCCCTCCCAGCCGTGTCCCACGGTGTCCCCCAGTGTCCCCAGGTGTCCCTGTCCCTCCTGGCTATGTCCCCTGCCCATGTCCCACGGTGTCCCCAGGTGTCCCTGGGTATCTCTATCCCTCCTGGCCGTGTCCCCCGGCCGTGTCCCTCCTGGCCGTGTCCCACGGTATCCCCGCTGTCCCCCGCTGTCCCCAGCTGGCCGAGCAGTCGCTGATGAAGAGCGCCATCAAGACGTCGGAGGAGTCGTGGATCGAGCAGCAGATGTTGGAGGACAAGAAACGCGCCACCGACTGGGAGGCCACCAATGAGGCCATCGAGGAGCAGGTGGCCCGCGAGTCCTACCTGCAGTGGCTGCGCGACCAGGAGAAACAGGCGCGCCAGGTGGGGCCCCAAAATGCTCCTCGTGTCACCCTCACCGTCACCTGCCAGTCCCTGGTGTCACTGTCGCTGTCACCTGCCAGTCCGTCATGCCCCTGTCACCGTCACCTGCCAGTCCCTGGTGTCACTGTCGCTGTCCCAACCCACCCCTGGTGTCCCCATCGCTGTCACCTGCCAGTCCCTGGTGTCCCCATTGCTGTCACCTGCCAGTCCCTGGTGTCCCCATTGCTGTCACCTGCCAGCCCCTGGTGTCCCCATTGCTGTCACCTGCCAGTCCCTGGTGTCCCCGTCACTGTCACCTGCCAGCCCCTGGTGTCCCCGTCACTGTCACCTGCCAGTCCCTGGTGTCACTGTCGCTGTCCCAACCCACCCCTGGTGTCCCCATCGCTGTCACCTGCCAGTCTCTGGTGTCACTGTCACTGTCACCTGTCAGTCCCTGGTGTCACTGTCGCTGTCACCTGTCAGTCCCTGGTGTCACTGTCGCTGTCCCAACCCACACCTGGTGTCCCCATTGCTGTCACCTGCCAGTCCCTGGTGTCCCCATCGCTGTCACCTGCCAGTCCCTGGTGTCCCCATCACTGTCACCGCCAGCCCCGGGTGTCCTCATCCTTGTCCCTGCCACCCCTTGCAGTCCCCGTCACTGTCATCTGCCAGTCCCGGATGTCCCCATCGCTGTCCCTGCCACCCCTGATGTCCCCATCACTGTCACCTGCCAGCCTCTGGTGTCCCCATCCTTGTCCCAATCCACTTATGGTATTCCTATAACTGTCACTGCTAGCCCCTGGTGTCCCCATCACTGTCACTGCCACCCTCTGGTGTCCCTGTCCTTGTCCCTGCCACCCTCTGGTGTCCCCATCCTTGTCCTAACTAATCCTTGCTGTCCCCATCACTGTCCCCGTAACTGTCACTACCACCCCCTGGTGTCCCCATCCTTGTCCCAAACAATCCCTGGTGTCCCCCTGTCCTGGAGCCACCCCTCTCCTGTGTCTCCTTGCCCTGATCCCTGTGGTCACTCTGGTGTCCCCATGCTGGTGGTCACTCTGATGTCCTCATCCCTGTGATCAACCTGGTGTCCCAATCCCTGTGGTCACTCCGGTGTCCTCATATCCCCATCCCTGAGGTCATTCTTCTGTCCCTGTACTTTGTGGTTACTACGGTGTCCCCATACCCCGTGGTCACCCTGGTGTCCCCATCCCTGTGGTCACTGTGGTGTTCCTGTGGTCACTGCAGTGTCACTATCCCTGTGGTCACTGTGGTCACTCTGGTGTCCCTGTGGTCACTGTGGTCACTGTGCTGTCCCCATCCCTGTGGTCCCTGTGGTCACTCTGCTGTCCCCATCCCTGTGGTCACTCCGCTGTCCCCTCTGTCCCCGCAGCCACACAAGGCCAGCGCCACGTGCAGTTCAGCCACAGCAGCAGCGGCCAGTGGCCTGGAGAAGTGGAGTGACCACTCACCCCAGTGTCCCTCCTGTGTCCCCATGTCCCCATCCCTGTGGTCACTGTGGTCACTCTGATGTCCCTGTGGTCACTCTGGTGTCCCCGTGTCCCCATCCCTGCAGTCACTCTGGTCACTCTGCTGTCTCTGTGATCACTCTGGTGTTCCTGGTGTCCCTGTGGTCACTCTGGTGTCACTGTGGTCACTCCGCTGTCCCCATGTCCCCATCCCTGTGGTCCCTGTGGTCACTGTGCTGTCCCCTCTGTCCCCACAGCCACGCAAGGCCAGCGCCACGTGCAGTTCAGCCCCAGCAGCAGCAGCGGCCAGTGGCCTGGAGGAGTGGAGTGACCACTCACCCCAGTGTCCCTCCTGTGTCCCCATCCCTGTGGTCACTCTGGTGTCCCTGTGGTCACTGTGGTCACTCTGCTCTGTCCCCGCAGCCACACAAGGCCAGCGCCACGTGCAGTTCGGCCACAGCAGCAGCGGCCAGTGGCCTGGAGGAGTGGAGTGACCACTCACCCCAGTGTCCCTCCTGTGTCCCTGTGGTCACTCCAGTGTCCCTGCGGTCACTCTGGTCACTCTGCTGTCCTTGCGGTCACTGTGG